ATTCAATGTCAAGTGGGTCAATTTTCATAAATTTGGGAAACTTCGAAAAATCTGGAAAATATGTTATTGTACATGTTAAAACTAGAAACTAGCTTCGGGCATTTGAGTTCATGAGTTACCGATAAGTTTTCGAAACAAAATATGTATCAATAATTTACTAGAGTTTCAGATATCCTTGAGACTGTTTATTACCGGAAAACATTAAACATTATATACGGAGAACAGCACGTACGACAAGCGGAGTAACTGTCCGGGAAACTGGATGAAACCTAGAATGATTTGTCAATGTACAAATCGGTATTTATAATAAAATGGTATCTTTTAGGAATTAACAATACACACTAAGGTTACTAATAACAATTAAAGAGGAAAGATTAAAATATAAAGGACATTACAATAATAATTAAAATCATTAATGTGTCAGCTGTCAACTGTCTGTCATTAGATAAGAAGCATAACGTCTAATTAATAACCAAGGATTAATAGAAACATAAGAATAAAAGAACTGTTTAAATAAATGAATGAATTATGGACGAATGAAATATTGAAAGAATGAAATACAAACAATTCACAATTTGGGTCTATATCTATTACTTTGTAGCTCCTGGAGCACTACAAAATCCAGAAAATATAGAAGTACACCAAATGTTGTTCGGTTTTCATGGCCAAGTAGCATGCGAACCTTACCAAAAAATTCTTTAAGACTAGAAAATTTGAGCTGTATATCTTCACTAGAAAAGTATAAATAAGATATCTGAAACTCGAGTAAATTATTGATACATACTTTGTTTCGAAAACGTATCCGTAACTGATGATACTCAAATGCCCGTATCTCAGTCAATTTTCAAGCTACAGACCACAAATTTTGCCCAGTTTCTAGTTTTTACATTTACAATAACGTATATTTTTTCCAGATTTCCCACCCCTGGCTCACTTGACAAGGAATCAGTCAGTCAATCAGTCGAACACCAGCAACGTTAACTGGTTTCCTGTCACCCTGAGGCTGAGAGCCAGCATAACAAGGATTGATCGATGGTCCATTTACGAGATAACTTACCACATTCTATCGAAAAATCTAAGATCAAGTTATAAGAACAACCTCGTTGTCCTAAAGTATAAACTCATGTCCTTTGTAGCTCACTCACTTGGTGTTGTAGCTGCCAATTAATGGAACTTGATTCCTGAAAATCTTAGATCCAGTCAATCATTAGACGCCTTTAAATCCAGATTATAAACATACTTATTTGATCGTGATTGTGTTTTTTGAGGCGCAACGTGCACGACTATACGTGGAATTAACGCGATATAAATATACTTATTATTATTTACATTGATTTGGTTGGAACAAGGGGAGGGCAGCAGGAAAAGAGGACACGATATTGTCATTAGAGCAATGGGAAAATAAGATATTTCCTTCAATATTTGAGGGAACTCCTTCGACATTTTTCAGAGGAGAGGGAAAATTTTCGGAAGGGAGGCCACATACCCCCCCCCCCCCTCTATACCCTGGTAAGAAATCTCATTGGAATCCAGCGTTATGAACCGTTTCCAGTTCTTTTGTTTTTGCATTTATGAGGACAGGGTTGCCTTCGCGTCCAGCACGGTTTTACCTTATTGTGCGAAATATCGCATTTTGTTATCATCTTCTTTGTCAATCTCTCGCAAAATGTAGGCATAACTTGCATAACTTGCATAACTCTGTTATACAGAAATAAAATGACGTGAAATGGGGCTTATTGTTCTGCCCCGACTGCTGAAGACGGACATACGCCATACAGTGTGCTATGAGGGAAATTAAGCGATTCCAAAAAATAAGGTCTTTTTAACGTCTATAAAAAGGTTCTTAAATGTATTTATATAAAGTAATTAATAATGGTAATTAATTTCAATGTAATGGGTAATGGTAATGAATTACGTCGCTGACAATGAGAAAGTAATTGTAATGATTACATCGCTAAAACGTAATGGTAATGTAATTAATTACGTTGCCAATGTAATGGCCACAGCCCTGGATATCACCGGCAAATAAATTCAATTGTCCTGTAGCAGACATTATAATTGCTACGGGTTATACTACGGATTTAGGCGGGATAGTTGCTGTAGGTTTTCCGGTGTGGTTCTCCCGTTTATGTCAGTGACGCAGGATGAAGAGTCTGTTAAGGAACATAGTCTAGTCGTTTGGGTTGAAACGGTCAGATATCGGAAAAATATGTTTTTATTATCTTCCTATAGTTTTTGTTAAGTAACATGAGTTTATAGTATACAGTCAATATAAAAAAAACAGGGCAAATGGGGACCTATTCCGTATGAGTGATGTTTTTTTTTTATGGAGCTGCTTCTTAATACCATGGGACCCTTTGTTCTGGAATTTAAGATTCCTTTTAAATTTGGCGAAAAGTTGAGTTCTTCAAAATGATTTAAAGAGTTTCAAACCAGTCGGATCAAATATATTGTCCTGTTTGAACAATCTAATATTGATTCAGTTAAGTTTACATGGTTGAAATTGATTTTCAACATTACTGCTACAGAACAATACAACAGCTGTTGTGTATAGGAAAGAATACTGTAGCAAATTATGTGGGGGAGGGGGGGGGCGAGACACGGATGCCATGCGCTATAATAGCAGACTGGCTATTCATACCGAGATTGATGAAACACTATTTACATATCTTCATATACATACAATCTGATATACATACATGATAATAATAAATAAATTAAATGTCGACAATAATCAAATATTATACTATGCTGTTACCTAAACTTGAATATATGATTTACTATATCTATTTATTTGCTTATGCAGAATAAATGCAAAACTACAGTAACATACGAGCTGGAATGTAACAATTAATTTTATCTAAAACTTTATAAATTAAAGCAGGCCCCGTAGCTAGCAAAGGGGGCAGCTGCCCCGCACCGCACCCACCCCACCCCCACTACCACGAAAAATCGGTGCCCAAAGACGCCCATTGTGGAAAAATCGGCTCCCCTATGGGTGTCGAAGGCTGTCCATCGTCGGTTATAAAACATGTAATCATACAAGATTAATGACTTCAAGTATAATTGCTATTATAAGAAATCTACTGAAATTTGAATAAGATATTTAAACAACACATTAAAAATTAAATGAATGAAAGATTTAATAAATGAACGATTTCTATAGATTTTTTTTATTAATTATTTGGGGAAAAATATACTTGGCCCTTGATGTCTTGGATCTGCGGCGCTGTAGCTATTATAACATCTGGTTTGATTTATTCTGTAGGGGATTTTATGTCAATGATTTGGAAATCCTTTGTATATGTGACCGGATTAGCCATAAGACTTTTGATCCAAATATCTAAGACAATCCGTTTGACATTCACTAGTTCTTCTAATTTGATAAGCTTATTTTTTCTTTCTGTTGATGATTCACCAGTAGGAACCATGAGAGTTTTTGTTCTTGGTATAAGTGAAATATGAGAAAAAAAATAGTTATGGGAACAAAATAATAAAATCTCATAAAGCTTATCTAATTTAGTATTATTGTAGAGAATGAAATAAAATAAACTTATCTTCGTGTCATTAATCAAGTTTTATGAATTAATTATACGTTACTATACTATAGGCCTACACATGCAATGCGGCAATAGTTCTTATTATAATACATTAATTTATTGTCATGTTGTAACCTTTACTTGAAGAATAAATAAATAAATAAATAAATAAATAAATAAAATCCCACTTTTATGTAGAATTTAAAATATTTTCTGGCAGGTGTTTTGAAAACTCTTGATTTTGTGGTGGAAGAATCAGGAAGTAAATATACAGGAATCGCCTAAGAAACTAACGTCACAGCCTATAGATTCCTTCGACCGGGCCAAAAAAAATATCGAAACTTTCAACCTCCTTCAATATTTTAATCAAATGATTGTAATACGTTCAGCTGTTTGTGGTTTTAAACAAATGTTATAGGCCAAGCAATGACATGGATTTGATAATGTAATCGATGGGAATCATGGGCGATGGAGACAATAATTTCTTACTCATTATTCTTTAATCCCCATCTTTTTCAACAACTCGAGTTCTTGCCTCCCCCCTCCCCTATTAAAGTGGGTCTGTTGTCCGCCTGTCTGTCCGTCACACTTTTTGGGACACAATAGCTCTACTTTTAATTGAACTAGAATGTTTAAACTTGGTACAGGTTTTTATTCGGTTGATGCCTTGATGAAGTTCTAATATGAGCATTTTCTGCTTAGGGTAAGCAGAGATAAGCAATTTGATTGGTTGATGCTTTGGGACACGATAACTTTAGTTCTAATTAAGTGAGAATGATAGTGGTGTATAGTTTCATTACATCAATACCTTGACTAAGTTCCATAACGAACATTTTCTGCTCCGGGTAAGCAGAGCGATAAGCAATTTGATTGGTGTATAGTTTTCATTACATCAATAAATGGACTAAGTTCGATAATGAACTTTTTCTGCTTAGGCTAAGTAGCATTAAGCAATTTATTTGATTGGTTAAGATTTCGGAACATAACAACTCTGTTTTTAATTGAGGTAGAATGTTTAGACTTTATTTAGATATTCATTAGGTGGCCGAGTTCAATGATTAACATTTCCCACTAAAGCTAAGCAGAGCTAAGCAGTTTCATTGATTGATGCTTTGGGGCATCACGCGCAGTGCAAATATAGCTATAAACACAAAATATAAACTTAATTGACGAATATTGATGAAGGTGCGCCGTAATCAATAGTCAACTATGTAGTATATTTCTCTAATAATATTACTTGACTCCTCCCAGTGGAAGTATCGAGTATGGATGACTATTGATTAAGGTGCGTCGTAATCAATAGTCAACTATGTAAGATATTTCTCTAAACCAATAATATTACTTGACTCCTCCCAGTGGGAGTTGACCATGGAGGTCACGTGTTTTCGTGTTCACCAGATATCGTGCTATTTCTCATAAAATCGATCGCTGTTGCCACCCGCCTGCCTATAAAAGAAACCTCAGAGTATCCAACAGATGTGTTTAACTTCAAGTTGAATTAATTAACCATGTATGCTTTGATACTCAATGTCGTGGTAGCTTTTGTCTTTATGGCCTGTACTGCAAACAGCAAAAAGTCGTGTTCACAGAGGCCCGCAGTTAACCTGAATACTATACCGTGTGATAGAATTGACCAGTCTCATTTGTGCCGTTGCTGTCCAGGTAAATATTACTATTTGCGCTCGATTTTCTTTCAAAACATATTTATAATTAGCGATAAATCAAAACTGATACAGATGCACCGCACATATTTGGCCATGTTTGGATATTTCTATTTTCAAACTAATTTTAACCATGTTTGTCCGGTGGGAGGCAACCCATTCCGGTTATGATAGATTATAAGGACTCGGACTTCAATGTTAAATGGCTGTAACATCACAGGCTGTAGCTTCTTGCTCAATATTCCGTTGGTTCCAATCTTTATAGGTACACAGGGACCACATTTAGCAGTCTCTTCATCATAATTTTGTAGACGTTAATGGCCTTCTTAGTAAAAGATGGCGTAACATCATGACGCACACATAATCCGGGGATCTTTCAGCGGTACAGGCCTACATTACGTGTGATAATATTTCTATTTCTATTCAAAGAAATTTGATTAAAATGGTTCGTCAATCGTGTGAAGAAAAAAAACCATAAACATTTACAAGGTGTTAAATTTATCTATCTTCGGAACTTAAAAGATGATATTAAAAAGGCATGCAAACGATTAATCCATCAGTTATTTTTATGTATAGATTGCATAAATATATAGGAAAAAGAATTAGAAGCGAGAAAAGAAAAGGAGCTCACGGATTTGTCATTCAGTACTTTAAGATAAATAATTGATAATAAACATGGAAAAGTATTAATAGTTCTGCTAAGAAATCACTCATTATAAAATCTAAAAAATTGTTGAAATAACGACTGCGAAAATAAAACTGAAATCGAACATGAACGTATTGAAAAGTCAAAGTAGACTACTTGATCAATAGAGTCTTGTTGTAATATCAATGAAATATTTTAGAATTAATATCTTTTTAGTCGGACTTTCGCCGACGACACTGACGAGTTTGTTTCTGGCACTTTAAATTGTCCGAAATGTAATCGTTTTATGTCGATATTGGCCAAATAACGTCTCCGTTTACTAATTGTGGAATTATTGTTGGCAAATATCGTTGTCACCATCAATAAAATGTCTGCTACAAATTGCAACATGATGAACGAGCACATTTTCGCCCTTCCTTTTAAGTTTCGAAGATAGAAAAATTTAAGAGCATGTGATTGTTAATATGTTTCTTCTTCTCGAGAACCTATAGCACACAATTGACGAAGCATTTTATTCAAATGTTTTTGCTTAGAAATAGAAATATTATCCAACGTAATATAGGCCCGTACCAAAATCCGTACCGCTGGAAGTATCAAGTCGCGTGACGTCATCGCCATCTTTTCCGAAGATCGCTATTGTTTAGATTATTTGCTAGGATTTGATTTTCACTGTGTTCAAAATGTCACGTTGACAATGATTGCTGTATAACGATTTACCCAAACCACCCAAATCTACCCAAATCCACCGTTATTTGAACTAATACAATAATTATTTATAATAACAATTATACTGTTCTTAAAGCCAAATCGACATTTTTAATTTGAAATTGTAACGTTTCCAGGCAAGATATTTCGTGCAATACACGAGTTATGTCCTTTGGTTACAACATCAAAACTTTTGAGGGGGAATGTTGACACATAAGCGTTACGATTTTAAATTAAAAATGACAATTATCAAATATCGATATAAATTATTTTCTTATAATTTGAAATAATGGTGAATTTGGGTAGTTTGGGTAAATCGTGCTACCCCAGTGATTGCTCTGCAAGAAGATACTTTACATCCCCATTCCTCCGCTATAATATCATCTGTATTACCCCAAACTGCTATGAAATTGCAAATTTGACCCCTTTTCTCCATTTCTAGAGCAAAAAGTGAAACAAAAAATGCGGAAAAGGGAAGAAAACAAATAAGGGAAAAATTGTCTATATATAACTCACAATACAAGTCTCTTAGTCTATAGCAGGTCCATCTGGATAGTAGTAAATAGTACAACCCAAACGGTTAATTGTTATTAACATGATTAAACATATATTCCCTTGACTAGAGATACGTTAATAGTTTATTATTTCATAAAATCAAGTTTTACATATTACATGTTTAGCGACTCGTTAAATATTTACGAAACGTTTGAAATTAGATATAAAATGAATTACATGTAGTGCGGGAGTGGATGTTACGTAATTGGTTAGTTAGCTTTGCAATAAATTTAATGGTTGGGCAGTGAAATATGTTATGAATTTGTTTTTACAACATTCCTATTGAAACAAACAAGATTTTATCCCCGAGATTAAAACCACCATTATATTTATAATATATATTTGATATACCAATCCTTGTTTGAGTTAAATTCAATCAATTAGAATATTATTTTTTTTATCTAAACGTTTTTGTATTTAAAGAGACTAAACCTCTAACTCAAAATCATCCATTAAAAACACAAAATAGAATTTAATATATTAGTCAATTTTAATCAATATTGGTGTTTATCTTACCGTGAAAATATTGGATCCTGATATATAATATACAGTGAACAAATTAAAAACAGTACACGAGTCGTGTACTCTATGGTTTCGGCCGCCATTTGTAGACCTTCATATCCAAGGAGAAAATCCGGAGGTAATTATTGATGACAAAATAAAAAACGTGTAGAATTGACTAAGCAGGCATAAACGACTGCCGTTTAGTTTGCAGTATAAAAATTGATTGTAAACCACTTTATATAAGTTTATAATATATTAATATGTACTTTTGGACCCATTTTCGTTTCTTTTATGGTTCCAATGAATAGAGCCACACGGCCCTTTATATTTAAGGTTCCATGCGTGATTTTAGCGCCATAGAATCTCATTGTAAACTACAGTATTGTGAAACTTGAATGGCTAATTTATTTATAGCATTTCGCATGGTTGTCTTGTCTTTCACATAATGGCCGTTTCTGGTTTCTCTCCATGATTTTAGCTCAATAGAATCCATTGTAAACCCCAATATGTTCAGCCTTATAATGGTTCAACATCATTATTTGTCCGTGAACCAAATTGATGGGTCTGTTTTCAATTCAAGCAGGGAGATTATTTAGCGTTATTTTTATTTCTTAATTAAATGTTAAATAATTAATCTAAGTCAATATTTAGCGTATATTAAGTCGTGAAAAATTTGATTATATTCTCCACAAAATGCAAATAATGCATCATAACTTTAATGTGTAAATATTACTGTGGTTTTCAGTAGATCCATGCGATGGTGTTACCTGCATGAACGGGGGAAACTGTGTAGGTCACGGTGTTTGTAATTGTACCTTTGGTTTTGGTGGAGCTGATTGTAGCTGTAAGTATTCTTGTGATATTTGTCTTTATAATACTTTACCTGATCAGATGTGGTGATGAGCACGAATGGCAGACCTCACATATTGCCCAAGGTGCAATGATTTCTTTAATCGGGAATATATACTCAGCCAAATTAAAAACTTGACACTGATGAATTTCAACAATTTTTTTTTCTGGTAAGTCAAATAAATTTTAAAGTGTTTCTAACGATAGTAAGTAGTAAGAAGCCTTTAATTTGATAAAATTGTAAAGTCAGTGGATCACGTGACTTTTGAGCATATAAAGATGAAAAACCTGAAAAACACGTGCAAACACAAACTCGTGAGGTCAATCGATGCAAGTTTGCTTAAACTGAACACGCACACGTAACTTGAACTGGAAAAACAAATTAAAATTGTTATTTTCATCTTTTTTAGAAAATGCCGCGCCTTTAAAAAATGTTGAACGTCTACGTGCTATAGGTAGGCTCTATGCTGGTTAGTTTGTGGTCAATGTTGCAAGAGCCTTTAATTGTTCACGCCAGACAATAATTAATCTTAGAATGAGAGTGCTTCAAACTGGAACTATTGCCGACCGCCCAAGGGCGGGAGCGCCACGTGTGACGTCACTCCAGGAAGATCAAGCAATACGATTACGTCATCTTAGAAACAGATTTGTCACTGCAACCTCCACAAGTAGAGAGATGTTTGGTGGAAGGGTAACTGCACAAACGGTTCGAAATCGCTTTCAGGCTGCTGGTCTTCGAGCTCGGTGGCCCTATAATGGACCAATATTGACACCTCTTCATCGTCGTAACCGACTTGTGTTGGCCACAAGACACATAAGATTTACTCAAAGACATTGGAATTCGGTTGTCTTAAATGACGAATCTCGATTCGCTTTGAGATTTGCCGATGTCAGGGCCCGAGTGTACCGCAGACGAGGTGAACGTTACGCTCAAGTATGCGTCAGAGAAGTTGACCGATTTGGAGGCGGCAGCGTCATGGTTTGGGGTTCTTTTTGTGCACATGGACGTTCTCCTCTTGTTGTTGTCCAAGGGAACTTAAATCCTGTCCAGTACAGGGATCAGATTTTGCAACCTGTTCTTCTTCCGTTTATGCAGAGACATGGGCCTAGACTAACGTTTCAACAAGACAATGCTCGACCCCATACAGCAATTGCTACCCATAATTTTTTAAGAAATGCCGGTGTCCAAGTCCTGGATTGGCCGTCGCTTAGCCCCGACCTTAATCCTATTGAACACATCTGGGACGAACTGGGTCGACGTGTTCGTCAGCAAGTGAATTCACCACTTACGTTGCAGGACCTTCAACATGCTCTTGCTGAGCAGTGGTGACGTCTTCCTCGGGTAGTGTTTACTAATGTTCTGAGATACATGAGAAGACGTTGTGTGGCAGTACGAGACGCTAGAGGAAGCCACAACCGTTACTAAACACTTTATTCCGATTGTTCTCCAAGTCTGTGAATTTCATTTTGGGGGGTACTGTGACATCACGAACGTTATCAATGTCAAGGACTTTCGGCGAGACGTATTCTTGCTTTCTGTTGATGTCAAGGTTGTCTGTGCGCAACATAACACTAAAATAGTTGCCTTAAACCAAATATTAAAAATCTAGTCCCAAAAATCCTGAGTGTCAAGTTTTTAATTTGGCTGAGTATATCACATATCTAAATAAGTGTTTATTTACGATATTATCAATATTATAATTATTTTACAGTGAGAGTATGTAACGTGGCCGAGTGTAGTAATAGAGGAGGAAATTGTACCGTAAATAGATGTGTCACCGATGGTAAGATACCTAGTCTTCTATCAGCTATATTTATTACCAATCCAGTTATTATCCACTCAAATAACTATGATCATATAATCTGTGGATTAATCTACAAATTAACTAGACATATTCTTTCGATTGCTTTGTCATATTTCACATTAATCATTTTTGAAACGGCTAAATAGTTAAAGACATATATCGTTAATAATTTTTGCTCGACTAAAACATGTTAATCTGTCAATCTTCTAACCTGCAATTTGTTTATATTCAGATTGTGGTGACTGTGGTGAAGTGTGTTTTAATGGTATTTGTGTTGTCAGAGGTAAAATTACCCTCTACTTTATAAACAGTTGAAATTTCGACTTTAGTTCAAATGATCACCTGTTATAATAACATTATTGAAACCGTCTCGGTAATACTTTTATCAAACCTAAAGAATACTGATTTCTAAAATTCATTACTGTCAAAACATTTGCAAGACTATTGAACTATTGAACTGTAAAACTTCCCGAGTTCACAATTATCAAAAACAACGACTTCATTAATTGCATAACAATTTCAGGAAACATTCTGAAAACAGGGGATGCCCATCTTTAATATCATGTTGATCACATCAGTTTCAACACAATCCATGAACTCCTGTAAGACACAGGCAGCACCCACAAATGGTTAACCGATGTGTCACAATATGTTAATATGGAGTTCTATTTATAAACTCTATTATATATATGTATAATTTCAGATGAAAATTGTGGTACTATAGATGACGTACTTATTAACTGTGTTCCTCTGGGTATGTTATTTATTTTACTAACTTTATAATATCTAGTTGAGCTACAATCATATATTACTTGAAGTGGTTATATATATATATATATGATCAAATGAATGATGATATACACTGATTATTTAATCTCTGTGTTACAACCCATAGATATATTCATGTTTTGGACTAGGTGAGAGAAACTATAAATAAATCAGACACCTATTGTAATAGCGTCCAGCATTCTAAAAGTTCAAATATTTCAGGAGTACCGTGTGGGGAAGGATTCTGTCGTTCTGCTACTAAATGTTTAAATGGCGGGTGTAGGCGTAAGTATAATATAGATAAATGTTATTAAAACAAGTCTATTTCTATAATTAATGCTGTTCTACTTGATCATTTGTCTGTACTTAGCAGGATATACCTAATGCCTTAACAAGAGGAACACCTGGTAACACTATCTTATTTTGAATAATTTGTTAGATTTTTTACTTTGTCAACCTGATAATATTACTTTTATTTTATGAAAGTAATCTTAAACACAATTCTATATTGTAAATTATATTTATTATAGTTACATTTCCCTGTGGTGGGCTGAGTGATGGTGATGGGTGCAATATTTTTGGTATTTTAAATGGCACTTGTTCAGGTGGTGCTTGTTTCGGTAAATATGATTTATATTATAGACAGTCATTCATACAAACCCGATGTATGAATAGATAGTATTTCTAGAAATGTAATTTATACAACTGTCGGTGATGTGCTCATAATGTACAGGCCAGTCTCATATAGAGGGGTGGGGGGTGGCTGAGTGTTCTAACGGACATGCTGTATATTATAAGACTATGCAAGTAGTTATTGCTTCCATCATCTGTCTAATCTTCAACTTGTAATAAACATCTAGTTGGAATAAAGCCTACAGTGTTAGTCCTAATAGTGTTGAGGGACCCCCAATCCCCCCCCCCCCCACACACACACACACCATCTGAACTTCACCTACGTGTTGATAGATAGTTAGATATTGTTGTATGTAATAATATATTATTTATTTTTATAGTACTGTGTTCTGAAGACAGTGAGTGTGCCGGTAGGCCGTGTGTTGGTGGAACCTGTGCAGGTAAATAATCACTATTCTATTTATAATCACCTATCAATATTACCTGATTTGTATATATAAACATGTTTAACCTCTTTATTTGAATAATATAACAGATTCAATCACCCCTCGTCATGACAACAAACAACAAGTTATGACTTTATAAATATATTCACTTAATTATCTACCATGGTATACTATAGGTTTACATTGTATTTTTATAATTTACTTGGTACAAATCATAGCGGGGGCATGATCCACAATATAAATATTTGGATAGGATCCAGAATGGCAGAGATGTTGGAAATATAGACAACATCTTATCTTTTTTTACATCTAGTAAACTCAAACCAGAGAGGCTTACGCTTGGACAAAATGACGTAATAACATGTCATGTTTGTGAGTAAACTCATACATAAACTGTCTGGTCAATGCAGGGATTATTCGGTCATCTTACCAAGATAGTGTGGTCAATCACCCATTTCTATACATTAAAATAATTAATTTACTTGTTTAACTTTTATATTGTATAACAAACATATTGCCTTTCCCATGAATCTTATATTCTAATATAAATTCATTTTCTGACTTGTTTATTAATAATATATAAACCATGTTTTGTATTTTTCAGGTGTTAAATGTGGAGAACCATTTTGTCGTTTGTAAGTATGTTATACTATACCCACTGCAAAGTGAACTATTATTAGAATCAATAAAATAAATTGTCATATTTAATTACTGATATAAGATTTAATATAATAAACTATTATTGTAATATATTCACCCAATAATGACTTGTTTATTGATAATATATAAACAATGTTTTATATTTTTCAGCTAAATGTGGGGAACCATATTGTGAGATGTAACCAAACTAGTTTATGTTAGCGAGCAACTATTATTAGATTCAATAAAATAAATTGTCATATTTAACCACTTCTTTAAAATAAATAAATGCTATTTAGTTCTTTCTTTATAAATTATAATTCGAAACCAACAATATATTCATCTAAACCAATAACTTCAATATATCCATCTGTATTTCTTCATAAAAACCTGATAAACCAAGATTTTAAAATGTAACCCATGTTGAAAATTAAATAGTTTGTTCTTTCTTTGTTGTTAATTTTGTTTACCGCGTGTTACTTTGTTTGTCAGCCATCCATGTTATCCTCCGTAATTTTCTAACCTTAATTCGGCGATGAGTGGTCAAAACAGCAGCTGCCCGGGCAAAATGTCACCCATTGTACACCGCTTTATACCGATTCATAAATAGAGATAAATAGCCCTAAAACAAGATGTCGACGCCCATTAAATTAATCTAAAAATGGCCATTTCAAATATATCTATTAACATTATTGTAAAAATGGTAAAATTTCTCTCTTCAAAGATCATATCTATGGATTTTATTAATTATAATTTATCGTCACAATCCATGTTTGTTTATAATAATGCATTATGGGATTTATTGAGAGAGGGAGAGAGAGAGAATTGGGGTTTAACGTCCACCCGACAAAACCAGGTCATTTCGGGACTAACACATGGTTCAATTTTATTTCAATAATTCGCTTTTGTGTAGGTGTCTTTAGCAGTGTTAGGACACGAGGTTGGACAGGCGACCGTGTCAAGAACAACTTTGGAATCGACCCCACCCCACACCAGTTGACTCAATGACAGACCTTATGATACAACGCGCACGTGCTAACCACTCGGACCCCCCCCCCCCCAGCGCCGCCCCCGGTTTGGGTGGACAGTTTTATTTCAGGGGCTGGGGTAGGATTGGGATATCATGGGAGTGTAAGCCATCTTTTACTGAAGCATTGGACTTGTAGTATTCATGCTATATGTAGATCCCACACTACATTAGCTTCCTAGGCTAAGGTGGTGGGCCTTTGCGCTATTCTTTATTAAATGTATGTCTGTTGTCAGTTCACTTCTAATAGTTGTTTATTGAATTGGGTTTCTTTCTTTCATTCTTCCAAGCCAATTACAAGATCACACAGTTGAAGACATTAACTACATTATACAAATAAACAATCATAAGAAACATGGAAATATTTAAAATATCAATTAATAAAATTCTATGTATGGTAATCGAGACTACCCGGCATACGGACTCAGACTAGCAATTATTTGCCCATTGACTTCAATGTTAAATGGCTGTAACATCACAGGCTGTAGCTTTTTTCTCAACATTCCGTTGGTTCCAATCTTTATAGGCACAATGGGGACAACATTTGGCAATCTCCTCATCATAATTTTGTAGGGGGTTGACCATTTAGATTTTTTGCTACACGGATTTGAAGTTGACTGGGGTGAAAATCTCACTTCCGACACAATGACTGCTCTGCAGAAAGACACTTTACACCCCCTATCCCTCCGCTGTAATATCATCAGTATTACCCAAAACTGCTATGAAATTGCAAATTTGATCCCTTTTCTCCAATTCTAGACCAAAAAGTCAACCCAAAAATGCAGGAAGAGGGGAGAAAAAAATTAAGGGAAAAATTGTCTATTTATAACTCGCACTACATTCGTCCATCATGAAATAAAGGGAAATAATTACTAGTCTTAGTCCTATATACCTCACATGTTTCTGCAGTTTAAACAAATCTGTTGTTATCTAATAAACAAACATATATGCAATTCCCTGGCCAAAGATTATGAAAATCTATGCATTTTCAGATGAGCTGTGCAGCATTCTGCAAACACTACAATACATCAGAAAACTGCGGAATTTCAGACAGAAATTTAAAAGCACATGAATTTTGAATTAAACAGAACATTTTTATTTTTGAACATAAATGCATTCTGTAAAAAGATAACAAAAATTCAATATAAATCAAACAAGAAAATCCTTTAAAACAGTAATTATCATGTAATATTAGATTTTTTTAACATTTTCGTCGAAAAGATCTTAGTTTTTCTCTCTTAACGCAGTTTCAAGAGCCAAATTGTGGTCAAATCTAAGATGTTGAAACATGCAGTGCCTATAAATTTTAAAATGTCTCCTACATAGCTGTATTTACATAGGACAATTAAGTTCAGATAATCTGATTATGTAACCCTACAACAGTTTTATGATCCCCACCCCCTAGTATGGAATCTGATACATGGCTGACCAATCATAGTTCTCACTCTCCATTCTGGTCTGTCAAATGATTTACAATGTTGATGGTACCTACAACTTTCCTGACCCAGAGATATGCACAACAGTCAACATACAAGCCATTTATGTTATCTTCCAATATGAGAGGCCATAATAAACGCAAGGCTGTCTTTTTCAAGCTCGGACATGAAGTCAACACTAAACAGCAACGTTTACAGGGGTCCTCGGCTGGAACCCAAACTGATTATGATTTGCCCTCAACTTCCACAGGTGTCACAGAGATCAGGGATGAAATTCATATGCATCATCTTTCTACTAATGCCAGTCCGGGAAGTCATCGGGTTTTGAGATGTAGACCTGAAATGTTAAATTTGGATGAGACTGAGAATTCTGAGGCGAATACTATCCAGGGAAACAGGATTATAGACATCCAGAAAATGATTGAAATGTGGAATTCTGTCATTCGGTTACATGCCCAGGGGAGAAGAAAGGCCTGTGCAGTACCAAATTTCCAGCCTGTTAGTGAGCAGAAGTGGGGAGCGGGTTGGATGTACTCTGTAAAGTGTACAAAATGTACATTTATCTCACCTGTCTACAAGTTGTATAAAGAGATTCCAACTGGCAAACCAGGAAGAAAGGCAGCCGCTATTAATCTGACCCTACAATCTGGACTGTTAGATATGCCGGTTGGAAACACCAGAGCTCGGCTGCTGTTGACAGATTTGGATATTCCACCGCCCTCTCGCAGTGGCATGCAGACTCTTTCTAACCAAGTTAGTGCTAAAATGACAAGGTTGAACACTATTAACATGAGGGAAAAAATAGAAGCAGTCAAATCTTTTAATCAGAAGGGAGGGTCAGTAAACCCAAATATAATAAATGTTGCAGTGGATGGGCGTTACAACAGCATAACCATAGGCCACAGTAAAAAGCCAGGGCAAGCAGCCTCGCAAGCCATTGGAATTGCATGCGAGACAAACACAAAGCACAAATATATCCTGAGTGCTGTGATGCAAAATAAACTGTGCTGGCAAGGTGCCTGGCTTAAGGGAAAAGGTTTTACTGTCAACTGCCCTGGGGGACATGAAGGCTGTACTGCAAATTTACCAGTTCACGCACCATTATCTGAGTATGACATGGGGAAAAGCATTGGCACAGAACTAGCTCTCCAAAACGTCCTCATCAAATATGCAACAACAGATGGAGATGGACGATCAGCTGCTGGAATTGAAGATAGTTTAAAAATTTTGCATCCGATGTGGAGTGTGGAGCGACTAGCTGACCCTTCACACCTGGCTGCCACTCAATTTAGGCACTGCTATAATGCAAAATTCAGCGAGGAGATGTTTCCTGGTAAAACCAGACTGGATAAGGGCAAGATCAAGAAAATACTGAGCCAAGATGTAAAAGCTAGATGCAGTCTAATCATGACTACATTGTTTGAAAATCACTGTGGTAATACTGAGGAGATGAGAAAACGCCTACCAAAAGTCCTAGAGTCCACTATCATGTGTTACGATGGCGACTGCTCAAAGTGCCGCCTTCATTCTGTTGTGTGCCGGGGTGGGATAACAAATAACTGGTGGAACCGTTCCATGTATCTGGCCTCAAATAAAGTTGATTCCCTGAAAATGAATGAAAATGACAAATCAATTCTAAGTGAAATTTTAAAAATCCGAATAAGTGAAGCAGCTTTAGAAAAAACCAAATTCCAAACAAATACACAGAAATGTGAAGCAATCAACCGCTCGTTGAGTGTTTCACTTCCAAAGAATGTAAATTACGGAAGAAATGCGATGGGTAGACTTTCCTCAACAATATTGAGAAGCAATGATGGAATAAAGAGTGCCACTGAGCAGAAAGCTAAACTCCTTGGGGCCCCTCTTTCTCCAAAGACAAGATATTCCCTGCGGCAAATAGAAAGAGAAAGTCTGTACCACAGAGAATACCAATCCAGACCCGAAGTGCAAAGACAAGCACTTCTGCTGCGTGGACGAAAGCTTTATGAATTCCGCGAGTACAAGAATTACTGTGCAGTTGAATCCGGCTACAAAAAGGGCCATTTAGACCAGCCATCAACAGCAGATGACACTTTACAGGATCACAGCTATAGTAAATAAGCAAGACAGACATATGCAAGCCATTGTCATATACCCACCTTTTGCCTTAATACTTGTGTTGAGGTCAATCATACCACTCTTGCACAGTAACCTGACACCTGAAATGAAAGAAAGATGGAAATAAATATGCAATAAAAAAAAAGTAAGAAAATAATAATAATAAAAAAAAAAAATATGTGGTTGAATAAGAAGGGAGACCTCCTCGTGGTTTCAACTGGAAATAGAAATAATATGCCTCTTTATTTCTAGCGAACATCCCTTCAGTGCCCCCCCCCCCCAACAAGAAACCAGTTAACAGTCAGTAAATAAGTAAACCTTGAGTGTCACATAAGTCTAAGCCAATCTCAAAGGTAGACACCATGTTTCCAGGTTTGGTCTAAATATTAAGGCCAACTGCAGGTTTAGTCAAAAGTCACACAGGTGTGAATTTTGGAGTGTACATGTTAACATTTCATTGTATGCTGTCAAAAACATGTTAGGTCTAAATATTAAGGCCAACTGCAGACTTGGTTCAAGGTCACAACATGTAAATAGGGTTAGGGCACATGATTTTTTGACACAATTGTGGGTTAGGGCTAGGGTCAGGACTAGGTCTTGGCTTAGGCCTCTAGGCTACATGCTTTTTGAAAAGATTGTGGGTTAGGGTTAGGGTAAGGACTGGGTCTTGGGTTAGGGTTAGGGTCAGCCCTGTTTACATCTCGTGACTTTAGACCAAATCTGCAGTTGAGTTGGCCTTAATATTTAGACCTAACCATGTTTTGATATCATTGTGAACAAAATGTTACACATTTACAACCCAAAATTCACACTCGGCCAACGGATACCCCCAATCATGGCTATTTTGATACCAAATAATCAAAAAACTTACTGCTGGGCAATAAAAAAG